CTCTGCTGTAACATTAAAGTGCCTCTGGACACACCCCTTAGCTGCGCAGTGTGCATGGTAAAAGTATATCTGTGATTTTGTATTCCCCAAAATTCATTCAATGTAGGCTTTGCTAAGCTAACTCTTTAAAAACCAAGGTCACCTTTTGCATTGAACTTTGAGAATATTACATTTAGAGATGCTGTTTATGTTCTGTAAGGTCCAGCCAGTTGGTCCAATGACGGTATCCAATGGTGGATGAAGGTTCACTGCATGTTCGGTCTTTCCAGTGCACAATGTTGATTTATATTAAACTTAACTCATATCTGACTCCAATTTTAGTATGAGATGGTTTAGAATATTAATATATTTATCCTCGTTTTATCTGACTCCATTTATAAAACATTGATAAGATTATTTTGTTTCCTTTCACATTATTTTAGATTATGATTGAATATTCTTTTGATTTGTTATTATACCTTATTCTCATTTACTCAGATTCCGATAGCATCTCGAGTCTTGCACCGGCCGGGTATACAATCTCTTAATACAAGCTTGTCAGTCTTGGTCATTAAACAGAGGCGATTAACCACTCTCCTAAAAAGGCAGAACACTACTTACTCAATTTAGGAGATTTTTATGTGGTCCCCATAGATCTGTTATCTACTTAATCAAGACAAAGTATTTTAATAATAATCGCACAGGATTATAAATTTGTAGATGAAGGCCTAAATATCCACATTTAAAGTAGTTTCAACAATATTTTGTTGTTCTAAATAGAAAACCCATAGTTGGCCTTTTGCAGTCTACGTATACATAAAATAATGCCAATTTGCTAGTCGGATCTCTAACAACATTGTTTAACGTGCCACGCTGCTCCGTCTAACATGTTTTAGTCCGTTACTAACCTGTACAGTGGCTTGTAGTGCTATGGACAACAACATTTATCAGTGATAATAACACGAGGTTTGAATAATTCAAATCATAATTTATTAGTCAGGTAAATATATTATGCCAAATTCAATCAGTCAATTCATAAACGATCAATACAGAACATTAAATTATCAAAGATAAATCCAAGATTAAAAGATGCATTCCTGACTTTTCACATAACGTGTAAATTTTACATAACGTGGAGCCTGGGCTCCATGTTATGGGCTGATCTGGGTAAGCAGAATCGCGCTGAGTTTTTCTTAGACCTTACCTTAAATAATCCAAGAATTCCCTCAAGGAAGGGTGTGTGTGTGTGTGTAAAAAGTCACACCCTTCACAGTGGTTCAAAAGATGCCTGAAGTTATATATTTATTGTTCTGATTATGTCTATTTCTGAGAGAATGAGACCATTGTACCAATCGCACTGAGACATTTCAAATGATATCAAACATGATAGTTAAAGTCAGTTTGGTTAGTCTTAAACATTGAAATGACCATATGTGTGAGTTGGGGGGATGAAGCTGAGTCTCAGCATAGTCAGATGCAAATGCAGCAGGAACTGGTTTTTCACGCATTCCCCCCTGGTGGGTTGTGGAGTCCATTGGCCCTGTCTTCAGCTCATGTTTTGAATTGTCAAAGATATCAGAATATTTGTAATATTTCAATTCTTACAGTTCACATAGCTACATTACACATGAACTAAAGTTTAAAATATGATATTGTTTGGAACCACCCCTTTAAAGTGGAATCCAATGTACAAAATAATGTAAACTTGACAGTGCTTAATTTTTCCTTTAAATATCAGTAGTATACTTTCACAGTTATATTTAAGTACTATTTTAGTAAAACTATGCTTTTAAATAGTATTTAACTTTAACATATTTTATATCATTAAATATGCGATTTGCATTGCTGTTTCTTAGATTCCAAGGGCAGCATGATCAGCTGCTGTTTTAACTTTTGGTTCAACTTAACTTTGGAGAATGTTGTTTCGTTTTCAGCAGGTTAACACAAAGTTGCATATGCATCTATTTATCATGAATGTAATGTTGGAAAATGAGTGATTAAGCACATAAATACACTTTGACCAGTTCATTAATTCAATTGAATAAGCATAATTAAACACTTTGACCATTTTATATGTGATTTATTAATCCATGTGGCTCATTTCAGTAGTAGTTCAGTGCATTTGTGCTAAGTTTAGTTCCATCATGCAGCAGACCATCATTTTCAAGACTGATTATTAAGGATAAGGTTCAAGGATGTGACTGATACTGCATCCATGCATAGAGACTAACATTATTTTAAATTCTTTCTCCAAGCTTGAAGCAGGGCAAAGTTATAGAAGTTTTGCACACAGTCTGTCACAGAGCACACAGGCTTTGTGACCTTCCTTGGTTTGCCCTGTTTGTCAGCAACATGAGCCAAATAATTCCATAATTCACTTTGCGAATCAACTGTCCACAAGCTGTGGGAGGTCAGTGCATTTTATTGTCACTTTGAAAATAGGAGAGAGGAAAAGCACAGCTTAACTCAGTGGGCCAAAGAAGCAGCATGCTGTCTCCTATTGACGAGCACTTTGTAGAGAGTCAACGGATCGTTCCAGAACCGAACAAGCCACAGACCATGTTATCCTTAAAAGATTGGTTGGTGCCTAAATGTCTGAGCTTTGATTTCATTTTCAAAGCAATCCACAGGCACCCAGCAAAAGGCAATCCACAGGATAACTAGCCAGTCAACATCACAGTTGCGTGTTAATAAACTTTACACCTTAAAACAATAAGAGGCTCTACAATCAAAAACCCACCAAACCGGTTTTTGAGAAGTACCTTTTGGTTTGCGTGCCCTTTGGCATCTGCAAGGAATACATATTCTCAGGCAGACACAGAAGCGATTAGAAACGCTTCCAGAGTTTAATGGACATACAGTAAAACTGTGTTTATTTGAGTAATGTATGTTTGCTTTATGTTTCTGTAGGTTTTTGTGTGTACATGTTCCATGTGTTTAACAAAACTGTTATGGATAGTTATTGAGTAATAGCCCTCAGTGACAAATGAAATCTACAGAATGTTTATGAAATACTTCATGTTTGGTATTGATTGAAAGCTAGGAACATTTCAAATGCATTGGTTTATATGAAGAAACCATACTATGAAAAGTGTCCATGTTATGAGACTTTATTTTAACCACTATGCTATCAAAGCAGCACCGACACAATTTGTCAACCCGGCCTTCTAGAGGGCAGAAATGGGGTGTGACTCCACCCCGCACCTTCTCTGATTGGACAAGTATTGTGTAGACCCAGCCTCTACCAAAGCCTATAAAACTTTGAACAAAGGAATTTCATCGTCGTCTTTTGCCGGTCATCTTTGCCAGTCGTCACCGCCGTCGCTGCCCGGACGTCGCTCTTCTCGTGCTGTGGCCGTTACATCGCCTCGCCGGAAGCCTCGTTACATCACGGAGCAGACCGCGACCTTCACTTGCTGCCGGCTCGACCCCCGATCTGCTTGTGCAACCGCTTCAACAACAAGCCATTGGGTCAACACATCCAAACTCTGAAACTCATCCTAAATACAGGAACCCAGGAAGGACTTCGAACGCCGCCTTGTCCAACATCTGTATCCCTAGCAACCGACTAAGGAAACCCCTCTTCACCGACAAGGGAATTCCATCACGTCACTGAAGTTGCTACGCTGACCAATCAGCTTCGCCGGGATTTCCCTTTGGACCAGTCAAGGAAACCAAAATTACAGCAGAACGCAAGTAGCACAAACAAGGTTTCTACCCATTACTGAATCTGGTGTGAATGATGTTTAAGTAGTAAAGAATAGCAAAATTCTCTGCTTTTATGGTTTCTCTCAGGTTGCAATGCTAAGAACTTAGCAAAGGCTAGAAGTTAAATCCACTCAGTCAAAACTCTCCTCAAACTGCTTGTGCGTGTGTGTATGTATGTGCGTTTGTTTGTTGTACGTAGATTAGTACTTTGTGTTATAGAGTAGCAATAAACTTCTGTTTCGTTTTAAGATCCGTGTTGGTGTGTTGTGTGCTTTATAAGTTAATGCCTCAGCTTCAGATACTGCTACCTTGCTTATTAAATAATTAGATACTGTTTTTATATTGTTATTGTTGGCCACGTAATAATATAATACAGGATTGCTTTACACTAAAACATTCTATTTGCTGGACAAATGCTTAAGTTAAGTGTAAGCTTTAAATAATTCTATGTGAATCATGTTCGAATCTTTGATTCGAATCCCCAAAGTTTAAACATGATTTAAACCAAAGAGCTGATTCTTACAACTTGTAAATTCAGTTGTCACTTAAAAGTACTGGTACTAATAAAATGAGAAATCGTATAATTTTGTGAGAAAAGGTATCGCGATACCTTTTTAATATGGTTATATCATGTTACACTAGTTTACAGTAGGTCCTCTTTCATCGGTTGCATACTTACTACCACCTAAACTACTTACATTTTGTTGATTTCTGGATTTAATGGATCTTGTCCTTGGTGACACACAAAATTCTCACCTTGAACACATTGGCCAAAAAAAAAAAAAAGGCTTTCGCTATATATCGGTCAACCACTAGTCAATTAAATCTTGCCTGCCTAACTTTGGAGAATGTTCCAAAATTTGAAATATTGTTGTGGCTTTTTCTTCTTTTCTTGATCTGGGTTAAGCGGCTTTGACATAAACCACATAAAAAAACACTATAGAAATAAAGATGAAATTGCAGTGGTCTACATGGAACACACACACACACACACACACAAACACACACACACACACACACACACACACACACACACACACACACACACACACACACACACACACACACAAACACACACACACACACACACAAACTTTTCTACTCAGAAATAAAAGCTTTCTGTACAGTTGTCTTTTCCAAAAAGCAAGTACTGCACAAATTTTCTAATTCTTGTAGACTTTTTGTTGTTGCATTAGTAGTCAAAAAAGACATAAATAAATGACAGAAATGTAATTAGGACACAATTTTAAAAATTTAACTTTCCAGTTATGTGTTTTGGTTAACACCTTGATCATGCTGTCTGTCTTCTACAGATGTGACCAGTGTCATGGAATATAATGAAAGACTTGCACGTTTTCGCCAAGGTCACGTCAACCCATTTGACAGGGATGAGATCGACAGCCAAACTGAGGGGAAGGATCCTCCTAAAGATGGTGTGTCAACTTTGTTTTAATTATATACAATACCAGTCAGAGGTTAGGGATTAGTAAGACTTTGATGATTTTAATAGAAGCCCATTCTGCTCATTTAAGGCTGGATTTGTTTGATCAGATATACAATATAAAAATTATGCTATTGTAAAGTATTACAAATTAAAATAACTTTTGTCTTATTGAATGTAGTCCAATATATAATGTATTCCTGTGATTTGAAGCCTGTAAATTTCCTGCATCATAGTCTTCAGCGCCACATTTAAATGTTAGACTGTCAAAAATGTGTACTGAAGTAAAAGTAGGCAACTTAAAGAAGAATGACAACCCTTTATGAATCATTTATTAAGCATTAGCAAATAGCTAATTCATTATCTGTTAAGCATTATATCTACATTAATAGACGTTAGTAAGCAAATGCTGTATTTTTAACTAATAAGCACTTTTATAAAGTTCTTAATGATTGTGTTTTCATACTTTGATAATGATTATTCTATTATTACTTAAGTATTACATTATTTACAAACTAGTTATTAAAGAATAGTTGATGCTATTTTAAGATCATTCAGAATGTGTAAGTAAACGATTAATAAACTATTCAAATTAACATTTATTTATCTTATTATTCAAGCATATGCTAATAGCTAATAGATTTTTTTGCTAATTTCATTTACAGATTAATGCTTGTTTTACAGAAATATTCACTTAATTTTGACAATTTAAATAAGATAACAATATTTTTGCTTGTCTAGAAAAAGCTGCTTGATTTAAAAATATTAAGGTATTTGGACTAGAAACAAGATCAAAACTCTGTGAAAATGTAATTTTTTGCAGTGAACATATGTTGATCAAAACCTTATCATTTTGGTTAAATACCATACTGTAGGGGTCACCAATCTCATTCCTAGAGGTCCGGTGCCTTGCAGGGTTTAGCTCCAACTTACCTCAACACACCTGACTGGGTGTTTAAAGTATACCTAGTGAGATGAATTAATGTGAATATAAATCAAACTTCACCTCAGTAAAGCTGGTTAGGCAGAAGAGGGCTATTTACTTGTGTTTTGTTATTAAGCTATAAATAAAAGTTAGATCAAAAAAAGGAGTGCTAAAAATTGAAATATGCTATCATATTTTCATATTACATTTATGTTTACTTTACCAAGACAACAAGTGACTTTTCATTTTCAATTGTGCTCGCTGATCCTCGTACATCGCTTGTTTTCAGCTCCTTTTGTTACTTGAACAACTAATTGAATGCTTAGATCTATTTAACTGACTATATTATCGATGCTGTAAAAGGTACTCCATGAACTTGAAAAAAGCCAGTCTTTTACCAGATGTTTTCAGTGGCTGAACAACACCACCGTGCATATAAACCCATTCATAAACAAGAAAACAGTCTACATAAGCTTTGCGTGGTTAAAATAGTTTTAAAACATACCTGTCTGAACGTAATACTTCAGCCTTGTTGTCATCCTTCAGATCGTTGTTTTGAACTGCATAACGTCATTGCCCTCCAGTGGGCAAAAGTAATTCCAATATTGATTCAGGGTTTAGAAAAGTTGATTCTGCATTTTTGGTAAAAACCCTTTCAGAAACAATCTTTCTGTTCATGGATACAAGGCCATGTTGGTCTTTCAGAAAAAAGTTTGGCTTGATGCAGAGTTTGCAGATGACGTCTCTCTGTCAGCGGTCGATCCGTGCTTCATGGGTGCGCGCGAGTGACATATCTGCTTAAAGAGGCTGCGCAGAAATTCAAATTTAAATTTGTTTACAGACCATTTAAAATACCTGTCATAATAGAGTTATTTGTCGGTCTGACAGTAATTAATTGTATGAACATTTTTTAGTTTAATGCTTTATCCAGAATACAAAAATACCTATAAATTCATTTAGATCATTTACTTTAATTATTATTATTGGAATGTGAAGAGACTTTCAACCAGCAATGTTTCTGAAGACAATCACCTACTGCATCTTTAATGCTTAACAGATAATGAATTAACTATTTGCTGATGTTTAATAGATGATTCATAGTGTATTAGTTATTATAAAGTGTTACCGCAAATATTTGCTTAAGTAAAAGTAACAATCTTAAAAGTTTCTCAAGTACGAGTAAAAAACGTAAAGAAAATCCTAAATTAATTTGCTTGTGTTTTACATGACTCTTTCATGTGTGGTGGCTACATTAACGTCACATAATGTGTCATTTGCAGTAAAATCACAAAAAGGCAGAGTTTTTAGGTTAACTTTGTTTTTCACATTCACAACACATACTTCTTCTGCCCTAACCATCAAGAAAATAATGTTTGTTGTTTGCTCAAACTATTAATTTGAAATGAGCTGAAACAACAGAATGAGGGTTATGTTGGACAATTTAATTGTTTTATGTTCAATCCAATTAAATTTGTCAAAACTAGCAAGTTTACTCAATTTACGTCTTGTTGACCCAACACAAATCGAACCATTGTGTGGAACCCAGCATTTTTTACAGTGCAGCTAAATGCACTTATTTAACAGAGTGAGCTCAGGGTTTCCGCGGTTTCAAGGGTTCAGGCTTAAAAAGTCTAAAATTTAAAAAATCTAAATTTTAGGCCTTAAAAGTCTTAAATTCGCTGTTCTAGGTCTTAAATATTTTTGCACATGTCTTATTTTTCTGATGTCCATGTAAAGCTACATCTAATGCAGTGTTTCCACTATCTTAGGGGGCCGCCCCTCCCTCCCAAAGCTTTCAAGTTAATGTTATTTTCTATATAATGTTATTATGCTGGGTGATTTTAATATTCATATTGATGCTGGCAACAATATTAATACAATCGACTTTTTATCTTGCTTGGACAGCTTTGGAATGCAGCAATTTGCTAATTTCCCTACACACACTAAAGGCCATACCCTTGATCTCATCTGTTGCTCTGGAATAATCCCTAACAAATGTACTGTTTCTGATCTTCTGACCATTTCTTAGTGTCTTTTTGTGCTCAGCTTGCAGTTTTTAAATTGCAGTCACCCCGGACAATCAAATTTAGAAACGTTAAGAACATTGATTTATTACATTTTTCAGATGTACTTAATAGTTTTGCATACAATGTGGACTCATCTTCTGCTGATGCTCTGGTGTCTATTTACAATAATGGACTATCTGAAATTTTGGACACTTTTGCACCTTTACAAACCCGGGCTGTCTCTTTTTCTGTTTCTGCTCCTTGGTTTACTTCTGATCTGCATCAACTCAAAACTAAAGGTCGCAGGTTGGAACGGTTGTATAAGAAGTCTGGGTTAACTGTCCACAAAGAAATGTTTACAGAACATGCTCATCATTATAAGGAAGCATTACTTAAAGCAAAATCTGACTATTATGCTAACAGAATAGAATCTAGTCAGGGTAACTCTAGATTACTCTTCTCTGTAGTTAAAAAATCATTAAGTTTTCCTGACACATCACTTTCTTCTTCAACTGAGTTATGTAACAGCTTCCTGTCTTTTTTTGAAACAAAAATTAGGGACATTCATCATCAATTACATACAAATAGTTCAGCCCCTGACTTCAGCCAAAATGTTTCTGAAATCATCACACATTACTCTTTTGATACTTTTACCTTACCATCTACCGCTGAAATAGTTGGTCATATACAGAAATCTAAAACTACCAACTGCCTGCTTGATCCACTTCCTACATGCTTAGTTAAGACCTGTCTTCCATCATTGTCCACACTGATTACTAACATTATTCACAAATCACTGGATTCTGGATCTGTCCCATCTTTACTTAAAACTGCTGTAATCACCCCAGTACTAAAAAAACCTGGAGCTGATTCATCCAATTTGGCCAACTATAGACCAGTTTCCAATTTGCCATTTGTCTCAAAAATACTGGAAAAATGTGTTGCGTCTCAACTCCATAAATATCTTGCTAATAGCAATTTGTTTGAGCTCTTCCAGTCTGGTTTTCGTCCCAACCACAGCACTGAGACTGCTCTTGTCAGGATCACTAATGATCTACTACTGGCAGCAGACTCTGGTTTACTGTCAATTCTTATTCTCCTGGACTTGAGTGCAGCCTTTGACATGGTTTCGCACAAGGTTCTTTTGAATAGGCTTGCCTCACAAGGGATCTCTGGCACCCCTCTTTTATGGTTGAAGTCATATCTTGAAGATCGTACTCAGTTTGTTCAAATTAAAGATTTTAAGTCAAGATCGCAGATTGTCACTACTGGTGTCCCACAGGGTTCTGTACTGGGTCCACTCCTGTTTATCATATATCTACTGCCTCTTGGTCACATTTTCAGAAAATACAACATACAATTCCACTGTTATGCTGACGACACTCAACTCTACCTGTCCACCAAGCCCTCCTGTTCTTTTCCTCCTCCTGCTTTGAGCAGATGTTTAGCTGAAATAAAAATCTGGCTTTCAGCTAACTTTTTAAAATTAAACAGCGACAAAACTGAAGCCCTTCTCATCGGCACTAAAAGTGTTTTGGATAAAGCTGATAATTTCACTATAGACATTGATAACAGTACAATTTTTCCCTCCATGCTGGTAAAGAGTTTGGGTGTCATCTTGGATAGCACACTCTCATTTGAAGGTCACATTAATAATATTACACGTACTGCATATTTCCACCTGCGTAATATCACTCGTCTCCGCCCTTCTCTCACAACTAATAACACAGCAATTCTTATCCACGCATTAGTTACTTCACGTCTTGACTACTGTAATGCACTTCTTTCTGGACTTCCTTCCAAACTTCTCCATAAACTCCAACTGGTTCAGAACCATGCAGCTCGTGTCATCTCTAGGACCCCATCTCACGAGCACGTCACACCACTCCTCTATCAGCTTCATTGGCTTCCAGTAAAGTATCGAATTGATTTTAAAATATTACTTCTAACTTTCAAGGCACTTCATAATCTCGCTCCTCAATATCTCACTGAACTTCTCCATATCTACACCCCTTCTCGTACCCTTAGGTCAGCTAACAACTTCACTCTGGCACCACCTCG